ATACTCACCAGGCCTTGCCGGATACGGAAGAGCTGGTCATGCGCGGATATCTCAGTGTGACTAAACACCTCCTTGAAGTGGGCGGTGAACACAGATAGAGTGCGAAGGTCCTGACTGTTACTGTCCCACATTGACTGGGCCCAGTGAAGAGCGCGGCCGGCGAGATGAGAGATCATGAAGGCCACTTTGGCGCGGTCATTGGGAAAGGCTTGTGACTGCATCTCGAAGTATAAGGAACATTGTAATAAGAAACCACCACAATCCGCCGCCTCACCGGAGAAGATAGCGGGCCGTGCCATGGGACTGTGGGAGGCAGATACAACGGGCGTATGAATGGCGTGGATTAAATCCTCCAGTGATGGGGGTTTCGGTGGTTGTGGCTCCATAACGTGGGTAAATTGTGGTCTGGTCTGCTGTCACAGTACAGAAGGAGACCAGGAACGGAGAGGTAAAGTAAACAGAGCTTTATTGAACAGGTGCTGGGAGGGAGAGAGAGAGAGATGGAGAGCAAACGGGTTAGAGCAACAGTCTATGGAATGGAAGAGACCAGGCTCACGTGATGAAGGGTTCCTTGGTGGATCAGGCTGAAGAGGATGGCACAGAGACAGGAAGGTATCAGGATGGAGTCCGGGTTCAGTGAGTCAGGTAAGGAGTAGCGTAGTGAACTCAAGACCAGACGAAGTGTGACTGCAGTGGCTGTGCATTTAAACTAGTGCTGATGAGGTGGTGACAGGTGCGGCTGATTAGTACTCCGGTGATTGTGAACGGGTGTGTGAGATGATTGGGCCTGACGAGGCTGGACTCTCCCTGACAATATGATCAAAGAAGGCTGTGAAAATACTGTAAATCTGCATTGTTAATCCATTTGATCATTTATTTTAGAACTTCAAACCTTAAATCAAACCTTATCAAATTAAATTGTAAAATTATATTCTCCAATATATGTTGGCCATAATTAATGCTTTTATTTAATACTTTTTGCAACATTCCTTTGGATAGCAGCTCTGAGTCTTCTCTTATAATGCCTGAAGAGTTTGGAGAACACAAGACAAGAGATCAAAGACACCATTCTAGTGTCATCATGTTGGTGCTACCCTAAACCTACCCACTTCTGAACCATATAAAACATGTAACAGGCAAACATAAGTGCAGTCACAGGTATTTATTGCAAAAACTGACCATAAACAAGCAGTATAAATGCATTACAAACAAGTCCTTTTGCATTCCAAGTCTTCTGAAGCTATACGTCTTTATGTGAAAAAGAGAGTAAAACATAAGGTTTTAATCGCTGAAAATGATCCCGCTCCGTTAACGTGCTCACATCCAGTGTTGCCAAATAATTTTCAGGGGAAGTTGCTAAAGGAAGATTGATTTGTTGCTAAAAGTTGCTAAATGGCGCGATGTCATTGCGCGGTGACGTCATTGCATAATCACGATGCAAAATTGTGTCACTGCATCAAATCTCAGCAAAAACATTTTTTAAATATGTTAATTTAGATGTGTTTATAAAATAATATAAATGCATAATATAATATTAAAATATAAATAACTAATTTTAAATACAACATTGAATTATTTAACACTTTCACATTTTTTAACAATTACAATTTAAGTTTATTTTTATTAGCTAGTAAACTAGTAAAACTACTCATTCTGAACGATTATAGATTTAAGCAGTGTATTAGTAGTTCGTATGCCACACTCTAAGAAAAGTCTGTAAAAATAGGGCAAAATCTATTAATATGAAGGAATTTTCCGTAATTATTATTCACACGTTTTTTTACCTACATTTTAAATTATGAAAAGTTGCTAAATCTAGCAACAAAATTGCTAAGTTGGCAACACTGCTCACATTTCGTTCAAAAAGATACTCCCGACCATAGTATGATGCAATCGGTCACGAGACACACAAGAGCCAATAGCATTTCACAACCAAGGCTGACGTAAGACTTTAGGCTTCTTCTGGCGGCATTTTTTTAATTTGCGCAGAGATGTGCACAGACACTGCAGCACGCAGGATGAGCTTTAAGGCGGACGGAGACGGCGATCGTGTCTATTCCTCTCACAAATCAATCGTTTTGCCTCGGAAGACTTGTAATATTAATACTTTTTGAATAAATTATGACGGTAGTTGTATCTGCCTGTTATATCTTGTGTTTTATTGACAAATGGTAGGTTTAGCAGCTGAGCATAGGCGGAGCATGTGTAAGGCTGGGCAAGGCTTAGGGGGACTTGGGGCAAAAATGCCACTAAATTGGACAACAATGCCCTTGCACTAACAAATTAAATCTATTACGTCTGTTGCTAACAAAGTGAATATGAATAGATAGTGTCGATTGCGGCATTAAATTAAGATCTGCTCATGTTGCGCCTTATTTCATTTTAGGCGTTTTTACAGTGTTGCGCATTTGAACCAATCACACACAATTCTGTTGAGCTTAGGAATGCAATGGCCAATCAGAAGCGTTCAGATGAGTCATCGTTCAAAAATCAGTTTTGTTGAGTGTGTGCGCGTTCGCTGACTGAATTCCGGACTCTTGCGAATTCTCTCATCATAAACAACAAAGCGCAGATGTACGTACAATGTAAGTAAGAGATTAATTTCATTGTATACAGCTTATATAATTATCAATTTCTAAAGTTTTTATTAAATTGTAATAATGTCTTATGTAATATGTAATAATGTAATATGTCCCATTAAACATTTTTTTAGCCTACATGACACCCATGTCTGGTTCTTGCCCAAAAAGACAGTTTATGATGTTTGATAGATTTGGCTGCTTTTAGCCTTACCCTGGAGTTGGTTCACCCTCCGCCTATGCAGCTGAGTCAAGTCAAGTCAAGTCACCTTTATTTATATAGCACTTTTAACAATACAGATTGTGTCAAAGCAACTGTACAGCATTAATTAGGAAAATAGTGTGTCAATAATGCAAAGTGACAATAGTAAACACAAATTTTTCAGTTAAAGGCAGTTCATCATTGAATTCAGTGATGTCATCATCCAGCTCAGTTCAGTTTAAATAGTATCTGTGCAATCAAGTCAACGATATCGCTGGAAATTAAGTGTCCCCAACTAAGCAAGCCAGAGGCGACAGCGGCAAGGAACCAAAACTCCATCGGTGACAGAATGGAGAAAAAACCTTGGGAGAAACCAGGCTCAGTCGGGGGGCCAGTTCTCATCTGGCTAGATGAAACCAGCAGTTCAATTCCAGGCTGCAGCAAAGTCACATTGTGCAGAGGACTCAACTGGCTCCTGTGGACTTGTCCCGGTGGCCGTCTGAGACAAGGTCTTTACTGGGGATCTGTATCTGGGGCTCATCTAGTTGTCCTGGTCTCTGTGCTGACTTTCAGGGCTGTAGAGGTCCTCTCTAGGTGCTAATCCACCATCTGGTCTGGATACGTACTGGATCCGGGTGACTGCAGTGACCATCTGATCTGGATACAGACTGGATCTGGTGGCTACGGTGACCTCGGAATAAGAGAGAAACAGAATAATATTAGCGTAGATGGCATTCTTCTAGCGATGTAGCAAGTACATCGGGTATTATGGAAAGTGTTCCCGGTTCCGGTTGACCTAATTAATGCAGTCTAAAAATCCTTTAACGGATTTGAATATTAGAAATGTGTTAGTGTGTTATGTGTAAGCCAGGTTAAAGAGATGGGTCTTTAATCTAGATTTAAACTGACAGAGTGTGTCTGCCTCCCAAACAATGTTAGGTAGGTTATTCCAGAGTTTGGGCGCTAAATAGGAAAATTGAAAAATAAGCGTCCTTAGCCATCTTCAAGAACCGGCTGAAAACACATCTCTTCCATCTTTATTTGACCCTCTAACTCTATCACTCTCTATTCTAATTCTATTCTTTAAAAAAACACTTGTCCCTTTTAGACTTGCACTCTATTTATTTGCTGCTTGTTTTCTTTAAAAAAAAAACGAACACTTGCTTTCTAATCTTTTTGTATTCTATCTGTTTTCTTTTCATTTATTACACAATTAACAAAAGCAAAAAAGACCTCTAACACTAGCTTGCTCTATTCTTTTTCTATTCTATCTGTTTTCTTTTTAATTATTATATTTTAAAAAACCCTTGCTATGTGTACTGCATTAAGCTAACTGATACTTGTTATAGCACTTCTATATCATTGCCCTTTTGTTGATTTTGATCGCTTCCATTATCCTCATTTGTAAGTCGCTTTGGATAAACCCATCTGCTAAATGACTAAATGTAAATGTAAATGTTTAGGGGCAGGGGTTGTTTAAATAGTGTAATACAAATGAAACATTTGTAACTGTTTACATTGAAACATCACACCCCAACTTATATGCAATAATGGCAATATTATTACCCAATATATAATTTAATCATGACGATAAAATTACCAGTACGTTTCACGTTGGCATATTGACGCCAAGGGTTTCTTATTTAAAGCAATGGAGGGCCCTGCACGTCGAAAAATTACGCTAAAGGGGTACCCTGTGCGTCAAAAAGTGACGCCAAAGGGTCCTGACCAAGCATCAATATGTGACGAGTTGGGAGTGAGAATGTGTTGCTCAAACAACATCTAGTGATGTAGGTGCTGTTTGATCATTTTTAGGCTTTCTGACACAGAGGATCAACTATTTTCTGAAGTTTTCCATCTGTGATCCTTGGAGAGACTTTGGCCACTCTAACTATCTCCTCGACTTGCTTTAAGACAATCTAGACCCAGTTGTGACCTAATAAAGAGTGAGACTTGTAACCCAAAGGTAGCAGGTTTGAGTCTCAGTACCAGCAGGAAATGTAGGTGGGGGGAGTGAATCAACTATGCTCTTTTCCACCCTCATTACCCACATCAGAAGTGCCCTTGAGCAAGGCGCTGAACCCCAAATTGCTCCCTGGGCACCGCAGCAGAAATGAAATGAAATGCAGAGCACAAATTTTCAGAAAATTTCACAAAATTCAGAGCACAGATTTTTTTCATCATTTTTTGACGGTTGTTATGTTTCTAACACTGTCTAGGTACCACCTGGGTTTCTTATACACTTGACCTTCTGTACTTTGGTAACGATGCTCCAGAGCGCCAGACTTCCCAGCCTATCTATATGAGAGTGCCATTCTTGGAGTCATTTATTCAAGGGATACCATCAGGTCAGAGACCACAGTATAATGAGTGTTTATGGAATTAATTTTTTTAATGTGTGTATATATATATGTGTGTGTGTGTGTGTGTGTGTGTGTGTGTCTGTGTGTTAGCCAGTTCTAGATAACACAATTAATAATTATTTTACATTGCATGGACTGTGATACACTCTGAAGTTGTGATACATTGATTGCGATGCGCATCCATAGAAAATGGGATAGTGGTAGACAGAGGTAGACATAGCAATCATTGTATGGTAAAATTGCTCAAAACTGCTGGTCTAAAGCCTTAAAAATCACACCAGCAGACAATCCACAGTGCAGACAGCAGGTACAACGCATACTCAGGTTTTTGCTAAGGAGCCTGTGATGACCGAGGCCACACATAAATGTATTTGATTTAAATGTTTGTTTTGATAAGTTGATTGTTTGATCTTCCTTTGTAAATTTGTATTTATTTTTGTATGTTTTGTTTATTTGTCTAAATATTTATGCTTTAAGTTAGGTAGTTTATGTTCTCTTCTTTATGCGAGGTAAAGGAAGGTAGCTCCTAATTATTTTCTATTCACTGGAGTGCACGCTGGTGCATTCCAGTGAATATTTGCAGATATTGCAACAACATAGACTAGAATAGAAAATAAAGAAGGTGTAACTACGAGCAGAGACAAATTATGTTGTTCTTTATTTACATGATTTGTTATAGTGTATAAGTGAATATGATTTATGGATGGTATTAATTTTATTTATTTTGTTCTAAATGCGATGTGAATTCATCTAATTTAGGCAGTTAAGTCATTTGAATGTATTTGTGTGTGAGTGACCCTTTGTCATTTGTTAATGGTTCGGTCCCGGTAATATACAGTAGCCCCTCACTGCGGAACACAAGATCCAGGGGGTGTGGTTGGATCCACATCTAGGGGGTGGAGATTGGTAAGTTAAGGGGTGGAGATGGGTAGGTTTCGGGGTGGAAATGGGTGGGGTTTAGAGATCAGGGGCTGGAGACGGATGTTTTGTTTATTTGTCTAAATATTTATGCTTTAAGTTAGGTAGTTTATGTTCTCTTCTTTATGCGAGGTAAAGGAAGGTAGCTCCTAATTATTTTCTATTTGCAGATATTGCAACAACATAGACTAGAATAGAAAATAAAGAAGGTGTAACTACGAGCAGAGACAAATTATGTTGTTCTTTATTTACATGATTTGTTATAGTGTATAAGTGAATATGATTTATGGATGGTATTAATTTTATTTATTTTGTTCTAAATGCGATGTGAATTCATCTAATTTAGGCAGTTAAGTCATTTGAATGTATTTGTGTGTGAGTGACCCTTTGTCATTTGTTAATGGTTCGGTCCCGGTAATATACAGTAGCCCCTCACTGCGGAACACAAGATCCAGGGGGCGTGGTTGGATCCACATCTAGGGGGTGGAGATTGGTAAGTTAAGGGGTGGAGATGGGTAGGTTTCGGGGTGGAAAGGGGTGGGGTTTAGAGATCAGGGGCTGGAGACGGGTAGGTTTAGGTATATGTAAGGTGGGAGGAGTTGGATCTGGATCCAACCACGCCCCCTGGATCTTGCAGTAAGGACCATCTTGTAATATAAGGGCTAGGTTTTGTTTGTTAAGGGAGTTTTTTGGCTTGGGATCCCAACTGTTAACATCTGAACCCTGGAACTCCATATTTTCTTTCCTTTATTTGTGCAGTTTTCTTTATTTTCTTTATGTATGGCCAAGTGTATGTTTTAAAAAATGGGGAAATTATAAAGAACTGAATTTTTTGTAAATCATGCTTCCTGTGTTTATTGGACGAATACTGACAGAGCCGAGCCGGTGACCTGGCTGCTCAGTTGTAGTACAGCAACTGTGGCAACGAGACGTGATGTCTCCTTTCCCTCCTTCAGGGAACGAGGGTTACATATGTAGCTGAGACATTCCCTTTCAGTCGGTAACTTTTGACTTCGCAGTGATGGCTGATCAATTGGGGAATCCCTACTAAAGTGCCATAGATGCTGCCCCTTCCAGTGTCCTGTCCGAGCCTCCTGCGCCCTTTGTTAAAGTATAGGCCAGGGCTCACACCAGGAAGGCCAGTCACTGTGAAGGAATATGGAATACACATATGGGATCCCCTCAGGGTGACTACATATGGCACCCAGCCTCCTACCGGTTCTCACGGACACATCGAGTGAAGGCCTGGCTCCGCCACGTCTGGCTGCCGAGGGTGATGGAGGAGCTCGACAGGGTCTGCAATATGGAACTCTCTGGAGCAAGTATCACAATTTGTGCCATAGCAAGCCAACACTAGGTCAGGGCCTCTCGGTTCTTCTACCCGTTTGAGGTGAGAACACAGGAGGATACAGACTCAACACGAAGGCTATGGAATATAGCGAACATGTTGGGGTTGCCCTACTAAAGAACCTAAAGACCAGGTTGTGCTTCCCTACCATCTTACCATCCACGGGGTTGTGATTTGCAGATATTGCAACAACATAGACTTTTAAGGGTGGAGGGAGACGGCCTTCGCTCCAACCCTTGCTGCAGAAAGAACAGCACGGCTCTGATCGGGCATCTTCGGCGTCCTCTCGGTGTGAGGAACACCACTCGATGAACAGGTTCCACTTCAAGGTGTAAGCGTGTCTCGTAAATGGTGCACGTGCCGAAGTGATGGTGTCACCTACCTCTTGGGGTAGGTCACCTAGAACCTCTACGTCCCATCCAGGGACCAGACATGGAGTCTCCAGAGATCCGGATGCGGGTGCCACAGGGTGCCCTGTCACTGAGATATAAAATGTTTATAAAATGTTGCCTATAAATAGTCCTAAATTTGTTCTAAGATCATTTCTCAAAAGTGTGTAGGTGCGATTCAGAGAAATTTATTTATAGACATCTATAAATCGCAAATGATCTTGAAATTGTGCACAGCTCACTGGTGTCAGATCTCTGCCTTGTAAATGCCCCCTAATTAATATCATTACCATATAAAAGAGCACACGCCAATATCCGAATTTCTATGCTTGAGAATGACGAGCACAAAGAGAAAAAAAAAACTTTACTGAGTCTGAAATTGAGGTCCTGCTGGCGGAGGTAGAGGTTCGTGCGGGGACGCTTTTTTATTTAATAATGTGTCATCCTACTTTTTAAATCACTTGCTATGACAACTAATAAAAAGTTTAGTATCACAAAATTCTTGCAAAACTTAGGAAAAACTAAAAAAACATTATTGAAAGAAAAGTTGGACATTTCATATCATAATAAAATTAATTATTACACGATTATGGTCTCCGGTCTGAAAAAACCTGCATGTGATTTGGCATTTCTTCATAAGCTTTTTACACAGTTTACTAATGCTGTTCAAATGTGCCATTAATGTACTGACACAAAAATATATAGTGTATTTTATACGAATATAACTGATGTAAATGACAAAAACAAAGTTTAAGGCTGATGTCGATATTCATTTTCACAGAGGCAAAGCAGCAGATGTTATAAATAAAAACAGTTAACTATGTTATTGAACAGAATATATTACAACCGTTATTCCACAACATAGGCCTATTCTTATACGCTGCACTATAATAAAATAATAAAAAAACAACATGGAATAAACTGTGTACAGAAAGCTAGCAAAGAACTCTCAACATTAGGCTACTAAAAAGGTCAGTTTAATCTTGCAAAAACTCCTGTTAATAAAAAATCTGACTAGACTGCACAATTGATCTCTTACACTGCATCTTTGAATTCGGTGCTTGCACGTACACTGCTTTTATTATTATTGCAGCTTAGATGTTCAAATATCTGCAGTACTCCGACTTTGCCACAAGGAAAAGTGCGTATGCCTGCTCAGACCCTGACGTGGCGGTAAGTACTTTTCCATGTCAAAGACCGTTTTTATAAATATGAACGTTGCCGTGGAAATCTGTGTATATGCACATTTTAAAAATGAGGCCCCAGGTCTGGTTGGGCCAGTAAGGTGCAACGAGCAAGACCTGCTCCTCGTCCTCACTGACTTTGCACAGTGTCTGTGCAAGAAGGCTTGCTATCTGTTTGTCCAAATCCAACACCATACCGAAAAAAGGAGGCCTTGCTCCGCCATGTCTGACTCTGCGTCATGGAGAGTTTGCTCTTTTCACAGTTGACCCAAAGACCCAACTGCCTTAGGTGCCTGGGCACCAGGTCCCAGTGCTCACACAACTGATCCCGAGACTGTGCCAGTCGATGAGATAGTTGAAGATACGAACACCTTGCTCTCTCAGGGGAACAAGAGCCCCCTTCTGCAACTTTCGTGAAGAGACGGGGAGACAGGGAAAGCCCGAAGGGCAGGACCATGTACTGAAATGCTCGTCCTTCGAATGCGAACAACAGAAATTGTCTGTGGCGCGGGAGGATTCAGACATGAAGGTACACATTCTTCAGGTCGATCAATGCAAACCAATCTTGGGGATTGATGCATCCAAAGATGTGTTTCTGCGTTAGCATCTTGAACAGTAGCCTGTGAAGGGCCTGGTTCAAGACATGCTGGTTCAAGATTGGTCGTAATCCACCACTTTCTTGGGTACTATGAAGAAGGGGCTGTAAAACCCCTGGCTCTAGAGACTAGAGAAGGCTCTATCGCGTCCTTCACCAGTAGGACTGCGATCTCCACGTTCACTTCTGATGTGAAGTGAATGCCCCTGAACTTGGGCGGATGCCGGGTGAAATGAATCACATAGCCGAGTCTGATGGTCCAAAGGAGCCAGCAAGACAGGCTGTGTAACGGTAGTGCTAGCCATGCTCCCAGAGACCATGCAAGTGGGACCAGCGGAACCACAGATCTACCCGCGAGGTGGAACACAGGGACCTGGCTCCAATCATCCAACCTCAAGGAATCTTCCTCTCCAGAGAGCTCCGGCTCGCCCTCCAATGCAGCAATTGACAGCATGCTTAATGCCCAGGCACGTGAGGCAGTGATCGTGACCATCACCCAGCACCAGGTAATGACTGCATCCAGGAACGCACAGGTGGAAAGGCATCTTTAGAAAAATGTGAATGCTCTTTTAGGAAAATAGCTCTTTCAGTGTGTGCTGAAGCAGGGGTAGTGCAGCCTGATGTGTGCAACCCACTCGACATGGGAAAAAACGACCACCACTGTAGTGCTGTTCCACCAACATGGAAGCCCCCTTAGAGCACGCTGAACTTGTTCGGTAATACACCAAAGCTTGGCAAGAGAAGAACAATGATTCCACTTAGCTCCGAAGCAAAAAGCTGAGTACGTGTTGCACCTGCCGCCTGTTTATACTCACACTGTGATCAGCAGCAGCTGGATACAATTATCGCATGCCATTGTGCATTGGTTTGTTTAGTTTACACTTGAAGTAGACAGATCTCTCAAGCAAGAGCTCTCAATTTAATGGTCTTCAATGCGACGTCAAAAGTGACCGACAGAAAGAGAACGTTACTGGCTTATGCATGTAACCCTAGTTCCCCAATCAAACAAGATGCGGCGTAAAAATGCTTTAGCAACATTTCTACTTGACTGGGTCTTGAAGCATATGTGATATCAGTCCAATGGAATGACGGGATGTCACGGGCGTGGTGACATAGAGACCAGGAAGCTTAAAAGGCTCTGAAACTTATAGAGACCGCAGAACCCGGCTTCCGAACCCCGAGAGAGAGCGCTAGATCCAGGGGCAAAAGACAGAGAAAGGGAGAGACCTTTCGCTAAATCCATATGCGATCCCCGTGATCTCAATCGCCACCATACCTCAGCAACAGCGGGAGCGGGAGTGGGAGCGGGAGCGGGAGCGGAACAGGAACCGCAAAGACATGGACACACTCTTGGAAGAGTGCCCGGTGGGAGCGGAGCATTTTTGGCAGTAGCACGATGCACAACCGATCATGTGTATTCACAACTGTAAAGTTAAACACGGGCAAAGAAGAACACACACCGTCAAAAGTGCTGTCTGTTTAGCTTGCCATATATCGCCATATATAAGAGCAGATGCTATGGAAAACAGCATTCCAACTCTGCTATACTGAAAAATGTCTACCCAACAGAACTTTGAATAAGTATGCTTAGCACAGATTTGTGTGAACAAAGACTAAATAAACCCAAAAAGACCCGAGAGCCTGGGGTTGAATCCATGTCCAAACTGTAGAATCTTATGAATGTGTGTGGAGAGGCCCAGCCTGCCGCTGCACACACATCTTGTAAAGATGCACACTTAACGCCTTGGAAGAAGTCATAGTCCTAGCAGAGTGAGCCTTGACCCCGAAGGCAAACCACACGCCTCATAGGCTTGTGTGAACGTTGCCCTGATCCAATAGAACATGTGCTGCTTTGTGGCCTCTTTGTTGTAACCATGAAAGCACACCAAAAATTGAATAGGTCACTTGTTAGAATGGTCCAGGTAAGTCCTCCGAGCCCAGACAGCTGAAACAGCAGAGGGAAGAAGGTATGAAGCATAATCAACTGAGTAGTAGAAGATGGCCCCCTAGGAATATAGACTGATCCAGGATACAGGAAAACTTTGACTAGCCCAGGGTTTAAGTCTAAGCAGAAGTCTTCTGTTCGGATTGAACCTGTAAGTCCTCAGAGGGAAGGGAAATCCCTAATATATCTGCTCACAGACGGATCCTCTAATAGACGTGGCATTCAAATGCTCCCGTTTTAATTGTAAGTGCTCGGTGAAACCATGAAGCGATGATCACTGAAGCCAATCACAGACATATCTATTGAGCACGTGAACACAATGGCCAATCAGAGGTGTTTAAGAATCTGCTTAAGCACTCAAAATGCTGGTATCATCACATTTTTCAAATTTCAGTACTTTTGACAACCCTTGTCTGCAGAGAGGCTGAGTTCGGCTGCTTGATAGAAAGCATTCGTTGACTTTGCTGCAAGCCTCTCCCTGTTGTTGATTACACCAATCCAAACTCACTTTGACCACAGCTCAGGTAACCACATCTAACAACTCCTCAAATGCAAAAGTAATCTGGGATAGCGCGTTTTCAGCTTTGCTCTTTCCTCAAAAATAACTAATATCTTGTCTCAAGCAAATCAGCTGAAATTGTAGTATGAGCTTTTTTATCTGACATGACAACATTGCAAATAAAGTCAGATGACAGAGATAAACAAATGGGAGCAACACTTTTTTCATTGTGAAGCGCTTGCAGTGCACACAGCTGACTCCTTCAAAAACTAATTGTTTGTGCTGCATGCTGAAAACATCACACAAAGGCTCTGTCCACACGAACGTGGTTATTTTTAAAACCGCAGCATTTTCTATGCGGTTTGGCCATTTGTCCACACGCAAACGCAGCACCAGGTCACTGAAACAGAACATTTTTGAAAACTACTGCCAGGGTGAAGATTTTCTATTGGTTGACATGTGGCTTTGCTGTGTTTAGCTTTTGGCCCAGATCTGGCAAACAGGAGCAGTCCACCCAAGTGCCATCATTCCACGCTATATGTGCTGGATCTGGGCCGACATTATGTTGCTATCTGGGGATCTGTACCATCACAACTTCACAGCATCCCTCCACCACCCCATCACCTCCACTGGATGAAATCAAATAATCAGACCGCTACATGATGACAAACAAGCAACTAGTATCATCTTATCATATGTTCTTTTGCTGTTTTGCCATAATAAACATACTAAAGCAAACACTCATCACAATAATGGTGGCATCAAACCAAACAATTGCTTTCAGACATCAACATCTAAACCTCTGTTAATCTCAATAAGAAATTTTGTTAATGTATGACAGAAATAAAGTCAATCTGGTTTATAATAAGTGAAGCTGGTAATGCTATTTTTGGAGTTATTTAATGAAGTTGGAGCTTCATCAAACAAAGGTTGGGTTTTTACTTTAAACCAAAATTTGACATCTGAGCAACATTTGAGTCTACATCCAATGTCCAATGGGAAGCTTCCCACTTAAATCTTTATTAGAATGTTAGGGGATAATGTTCTAATAATATCAATAAATCAATAAATATTATCAATAAATATGTTTAGAATGTTTTTAGAGAATGTTATCCCACCTTTTAGGAGAATATTCTGGGAACTAAAATAAAACCTTCCACTGAAAACATTTCCAGAACATAAATAATGTTCTTGGAACACTCTTAGAACAAAAACATTCCTTGCTGCTGGTTCCTATCCCAGTGAAAAAGAGGGACCAATTTTATTTATATACTTTATATGATTTATCTGTATGTTGTTGCCTAACTAGAATGACAACTAGGACATTTAATTTAGAACAACATTTAATTTTTCACTTACAGGAACGGAACTGGCTGATAATCTGCCCACTTCTCCTCGCCTCATCAAAACTCATTTACCTGTTCAGCTTGTGCCTAAGTCCTTCTGGGAGCAGAACTCAAGGGTAAAGTAAATAGGGCTTCGTTTCATTTAGTAATGTGGTAAGGGACGTGGCAAATCACTGTAGTACTTTTATGATGGATCGGTGTGTCATAATCATGCAGGACTGCGTGTCCTCATCCTATGCGAAGATGCTTCACTTAATGGGGTCATATGATGCAATTTCAATTTTTCCTTTCTCTTTGGAGTGTTACAAGCTCTTGGTGCATAAAGAAGATCTGTAAAGTTGCAAAGACTAAAGTTTAAAATCCAAAGAGATATTCTTTATAAAAGTTAAGAGTCAACCACGCCTACCTAAAATGGTTAGTTCTAACACCCCCACATGTCTACTTCACGATGTGGGAAGATTTGCATAACGCCGCCCAAATGTTCACGCAAAGAAAGAAGGCATAACTTTTATTCTCGCTGTAGTATTGTTGTTGCCGCCGCCATGTCGTGAAGGCGCTGTGTGCTTCATTGTGAAAGCGAAACTACTTTTTCTGGTCTTCCAAAAGAGGACGATATCCTCTTCGTCATGCCTGGAGCTGATCCGTGCTGGTCGCTGAGGAAATACTACAACTTTGCGCTGTGGATCGGCTTTCACCGTGGACGAAGCGGAGTCCAGCCCAGGGTCGTCACATGTGGTTGCTGCAAGCCCACCAGATGCTCCTTCATCGAATCTGCCGGCCGCGCCGTTCTCAAGCCCGCCTGCCTCTGCTCTGCATACTCTAGGCCACGGCTCTCTAGGCCTCCGTCCTCCGCTCACTCAAGGCAAGGTGTGACACTGTTTCATTGTGAAAGCGAAACTACTTTGTTTAGCCTTCCAAAAGAGGACACGACTAGAAATCAGTGGTTAAGTTGTATTTACAACACTGTTCCAGAACAGTTTAACCCAAATATTCAGATGTGTCCAGCGCATTTTATGGAGGACTGTTTCCTGATCCTGGTAGAGTAGACTAGTAATACACAATAAAGCGCTATATAAATGCATCATTCATTCATTCATTTAAAACCCATACATCAGTATATTGCTACTCTTATGTAAATAAATGTCATTTGTAGCAAGACTGGGAACTTTTACCTGTGTTTGTCAGTGACATTGGGTTTTAGCAAATTATGGTAAACCTCTCGCCTTCTCTTTGCTTTCTGTTTTGTGTCACGAGTCTTAACAGTTCTATACTTTGTTGAAGCAAAAAAAATCTTAAAATTAAAAAAAAATGTCTTGAGTCATTACGACTCAAACAACATCATTAAAATTATCAATCACCATAGTATACTTACTTCAATTTTTTTTTACAGTATCACAAAATCTTCAAGGGAACATATGTATTGAGATTGAGAAAAAAACATTTCTGATTTCGCAGCACCACAGTAGAAAAATAAACTACATCCTTGCCATTTCATGCTGAGCTGGGACGGATATATTTCCACTTGTGGTGCTGCAAAATCAGAATAAAAATGTTCTCAGTCATCACCACAAACAGTCATTGGCAAGATGATGGTAAAATGGCTTAAACCATTTTAATGTGAGAATATAAATAATGTTTACACAAATATACAATCTACATAAACACTGGGAGAGTAAAAAGATTTGATTGCTTTATATTACCTGACTCAAGAAATTTGCCACTGAAGAACATCCACAATTTCCCCTTAGGAGTGTTTGGTTCTTGGTACGACCATGTCAATGGATGGTGGGAGAAAAAACAGACTTATTCTAACCTACTGTACATGTTCTTTGAGGATATGGTTGAGGTAAGTTCAGTATATAAAATGACATTTTTAGCAAACATATTAGCATAAAATCAGAAAGGTATGTTAGATGTGTATGTCTTCCTCAGGACACTGGACGTGAGGTGGCTCGTTTGTGCTCCTTCTTGGGTTTGTCCACTTCAGCTGAACAGAAGGAGAAAATAACAAAAGGGGTTCAATTTGATGCCATGAAACAGAACAAGATGACCAACTATTCCACTATCCCAGTCATGGACTTCAAGATCTCACCCTTTATGCGGAAAGGTTAATAAACTACTAAATTTAAGTACTTTAGTCCTTCTGAATTCAATCATTTCACTTACTTTTATCTTCTTCTTTTTCATTCCAAAAGGTAAAGTTGGAGACTGGAAAAGTCATTTCACTGTGGCACAAAATGAACAGTTTGATGAGGTCTACAAACAGAAGATGAAGAACACCACTGTCAAGTTCCGCACTGAGATCTAATATTAGAGAGTTCTGGATCTTGCACCAGAATAAAAATTTAATGATAAATAAATAATCAGTTGTCTGACTTAAGCCTAAATTTGGCTCCTCTGTTTTGAGCCATTGACAGGCTGATTTTTTACATGAAACCAGCAGAAACACTTAACATACAATAACTTTCGATAAAAATAAAAAAATCATTAACAAACAATATATAATGTTTAATGGATCATTAGTTAACATATATTCACATAGGTAGAAATATGAGATAATGTACTTTTTAATGCTTACTAATGAACTTAAACATTATATAATGATTAACAGATCATTATTTAATGTAAACTCAAATGCTTACAAATGTCATTAAATTTTCAATTGATGTGATCATGCACTTCTTGAAAATCTACTACTTTAATTTGACAGATGGTTTACAATGATTAAAAACTTCGTTAATGAATCATTAACTTAATACACTTGACTAAACACTTCATTTCTGGCAATATTGTTGACTTGAGTGCACAGACACTATTTGAAGAGAACGGAACTGTGCTGGACAGAACAGATCATTAATGGATCATTATGTAATGTAAACAAAATGGTAACAAATATAATTAAACTTCCAATTCATATGGGCATGTTATACAAAGATTTACATTTAAATGCTAACACATGTAATTAAACTTCAATTCATAAAATACCCAATGTGATTTTTTACATTTACAAATGTTGTGGTGGTGGTGGGGGGGTTGGATTAGTAATATTAAGCACTTCACACACTATTCATGTTAACACATTATTCACATTTTGTTTGTTGTAGTGTGAATCCAGACTTCTGCTATTTACACATCTTAACAAATAATTTACTATGTGTCCAGTTGTTCATGTTTTTACAGTACTCAATTGTTGAAAAATAAAAAATATTTTTTTTACTAATCATTCAGTACCTCTATGGACATTTGACTTTTAGCTACTGTTACAACGTCTGTGTAAAGGGTGGTCAGTTTAGGGAAATACTTGCTAAAAACATGACAACAACACATAATTGTTATTTGGGTGCAAAACATGTTTTTATTGCCTTAACACTTACTTATATTCCTTGAACCATACAACAACTAACCCACTGGGTAAAATAAAACAATGCTTGTATTGTGTTGTAATACATCCTGCTTGGGGTCAAGTGCTGGTGAAAGGACTCACCAGACGACAAGGAAAACCTGCAAATAATAAGGAATTTTCTAAATTATTACCAGATCAAGAGAATTAAAGTAAGTCAAATTTGTAAACTTTATTATTATTATTATTAATGTCATAAATTCCAATAATATCTGTATGTACAAACCATTTCTACCATGATTTCTGAACAGCTTAAAGTCTAACAAATATTGTCTACTGCTGAGAATAAAGCAATGGTGCAATACATTCCTTAAGTGTTTTTAAGGGTGTTTGTATTGTTGTTGTTTTTTTTGTTTGTTTGTTTGTTTGTTTGTTTTGTTTTTGCTTTTTTTTAGGGGGGGGGGGTAATCTGGAAGTAATATGGGACTACTGGGGTAAAGGGCCTGTTCACTTTCTCCAGATCTCCAAGATAAACACACACTGTTCCTTTGAGATCAACACTAGCTTCCTGTAACAACAACAAGCCAGTACTTGAGGGGCCTTAGTCAGTGTCCTTTGTGTTATTTTACTTGTCTGAACTTACATAACCTGTTGTTTGAGGTTGAGTACAAAGTACAGTGAAAGTAAGAGTGAGAGAGAGAGAGAGAGAGAGAGAGAGAGAGAAAGTATCAGAGAGAGAGATAATTGAATTTCAACACACCAATTACAATTACAATTCTTTTTTTAAACACATTACACAATCAACCCCTACATTGCACAAAACTCAAAATACAAAACCCAAAACAAATTAACAACACACAAAGATTTTAAAAATTGCAAACTCTAAATCCTCATCAATAACTTCACACAGAGCCCTTTTATAACACCAAATTGTTTCAAAAAGCATAAGATCTCCCATAGCTTTATGATACTGGAAATCAATAAAAATTCTAGATTTCATAAGGTTAAAAAACACAATTTGTAAGTTACTACTTCAATCTTTATTTTCCTGGTATCATAAATTGCCATTTTTGCCTGACCTAGAAGAAAATTCAACAACTGGCAACAGAATCGGTGTTTCCGAATATATTTAAAACCACAAATAAACACTTCCTGTGAAAAAGTCTCATCAAAACGATTGAATAAACCAGTTAAAACCTGAAACAGTGAATCAAGCCTACTGCAAAACAAAAAGGTATGATATATAGTCTCCCTTTCCTGCTATCATAAATTGCCATTTTTGCCTGACCTAGAAGAAAATTCAACAACTGGCAACAGAATCGGTGTTTCCGAATATATTTAAAACCACAAATAAACACTTCCTGTGAAAAAGTCTCATCAAAACGATTGAATAAACCAGTTAAAACTTGAAAGAGGGAATCAAGCCTACTGCAAAACAAAAAGGTATGATATATAGTCTCCCTCTGGAAACAAAAAGGACATTCATCACTACTACCTGGGTTTATAATTGAAACAAGAGCATTCACAGCTATAGCGCCATGAAGGATTCTCCATTGTAGGTCTCCTACTTTCTTTGACAAAGGTGATTTCTACAAAGCTCTCCATTCTGGTTTAACGTTCTCTCCTAAATGGAGAACAGAGCGCCAAGGAGTATCAACTCTATTATGCAGAAAATTCTTATTAAGTGTCTTCACACAACACTTGTACACAATTTTCCCAGATACAGAATTAGGCCCCATTAAAAACAAGATACTGTCTTGTAAAAACACACCTTCA